TCAAATAAAATATATTTCCCGATTTATACATTTAACATTGTACTGAACATCTGTTTTTAAAGTATTTGATATATATTGATAATTTCACTCATTTAATGATTTTTTCTAAATATCACTATTTTTTTATTTTTTTTTTTTCAATCGATTTCTACTTTATCAAATAAAATTTACTGATTAAGAGTGAGGAGGAAGCTCATTCAGTAATCATTATTGAACCGAACGTCGCCATTAAAACATCCGAAAACCCTCTGGACACATCCCATCTTAGAAGTTTGGTAAAATGTATCTGTCGCTCTGAGTTCTGAGGTGAAAAGTCCATTATAGTTGTTAGCAAGTAGGTCATTTATACCCCATATTATTTCCATTCTTTTGTTTTTTCACCTCATGGTATGTGTAAAAGCATATCAATGCGACACCAAACAACATCAATAACTTCTGTTGTAACTATCTTGTTCTTTTGTTATAAAGGGCGTGCTAATGACCAGATGTATAGTTTTGAGTGGAGGATGAACAAAGTATCAGAATACTTTTGTCACTAATGTATTATTATTCTTTCACATAAATTGTATATATTTATCCTTCTTTCACCAGAGATGGCGCGTCCCTGTGTAGAATTTTCATAAAATGATTCAACAGATAAACACGGACGACTGTGTGGATGTTTTAATCGCTGTCAGGCAACTTCAGCTTAGAAGACCTGAGTTCTTTGCTAATTTTGTGAGTTGTGATAAGTTAATTGTTATAGTAACTACTTTTATTGACGTCATGATAAAAAGGCTTCTCATATAGAGCATAAGTGTTTATTCAGCTCATTTACATATTAGCCATTTGGAACTATAATGGCGGCCAATTCTATAAAGGTCAGTGCTATTTTTTTTACGTTCTTTAAAAACTTGAACGTTTTATAGCTGAATGCGTGAAGTTGTCCCAAAAGTGACGAAATAGGTAACACATTTATAACGAATTAAATTGTTGTCTTCTTTATTGAAAACAATTTTATTAAGATAATTCGTGTCTGGAATAATTCAAGTAAACAAAAATAAACATGATAACATTCTCAAAATGCACGACGTTTTTCTCGTGGGTAAATCCTAATTTTATTCACGCTATATTAATAATTTTGAAGTTACACAGTCATGTATTTTTGATTTCTTTTCAGGATGAGTATGGACTGATCTTTAGATCTGTATATGATCACATACAAAGTGCATCAGATAACATTTACAGCAATCAGTAAAGTGGTGGATCTGTACGCGTCATCCTTAATGAATTTAAAATTACTACAATATTTTTTTTTATAAGTATCTTTATACCTCTAATGCATATGAGTTTAGACAAACCAATGAAACGTTTATCATATCAGTGAAAAAAAAAACCAACTCCACGCAGTTATTATAAGGCTGTCCGAAGGCTTAAAATGCCTTGAAAATATACACTATACTTTGAGCTAGATTTTAATTTTAATATGTAATCCTTGTTTGAAGTTGTAGTCAACTTGAGATAATAGAATAATCAGGTTTTATTTTACCGCATTTTTTGTGATGTCACATGACTGTATTGATCACGTGACGAAGATTTCTGATATTCCTAATTGTTGCACAAAAATCGCTTCGGCAAAAGGACTAAACAAAAATATTGTGCAAAGTTTGTTACATAGATCAATTCATCGTGATCTCTGGTACATAGAAAGTGCTAGGGGCAGATTTAACTTTTACTTGTTTAGAAAATATTTTACGAGAAATTAAACTTACCAACATAAGAAGGGGTATTTTCCACTCTTTATCGCGATTTATACAAAAATGGCTTACCTACACACAATCCCCCAGCAGAATTCAGTTAGAGGACATACTTCTCTTGTAGATTTACACAGATAATCTTCAATTTGTCCTTGTTTATCACTTGTGCCACTTGTGTCATAAATTCTAACTCTGTCTACGGACGTGTAAGGGAAGAGTTTCACACATATTTTTTGCTATAAATTTTTGAATATGTGCATATCGGACAAGATCAAGGAATAAAGATATTTTAAATTTTAAATGTTCAAATCATAACAACACACTCGAGCTTAAAATACAATCCTTACACCTGAATTAAATAACAAGTCTCCAAATTAAATCTTCATGCTATGTTATAATTATGTCACTTTCCCCGTCATGTCAGCTCAAGTATGCAGTGACTTGACGCCATACTCTATTATGACGTCATATCTAGGTAGTTCAGAGAAATATCTACAGTTTTAACAGTTTAATATTTTACGGGCAGCCTTATCCTAGCTGCGCAGTCATGTTTATATAAGTATAATTAACGACTTTATTCGCATAGTTTTGGATTTATTTTTCACATAAATAAGTTAACTTCTTTTTTTTTTTGATTGATGTGGGTTTCCATTTTTTTTTAAAATGAAAAGTTGAATTTAAATAGGTTCATATGTATATCACGTATATAAAAAAAAAAATATGCATCCTCTTTAAACATAAATTAAGTGTACATTAAAACTTGCAGAATATCAATTAAGTACATTTGTAGAATCTTCTCTTAACTACTATAACTCCAAAGTGCGATGGTGACGCCAAAGTCCGATGGTCTCGCCAAACCCCGATGGTTCGCTGTCTTTACGGACGCCAAAGTGCCATGGTCACGCCAAAGCCCGATGGATTGTTTCCTATGAGACACGTTGCGCTAAAGTGCGATGGTGTGATACGCCAAAGTCCGATGGTGCAAAGGAACAATCAACCTTTAAGACGTCACTCTAGTCCGACGTCATGACGTTGTCCTGCATTCGAAATCCATTGATTTAGTATTTGTCTCGCATACAATTTTACTTGATTTTGCTTATTGTTTTTGTCCACCAGAGCTATTAGGGTTAGTCCTTATCCACTATTCGACTGATAAGGGTAAGTTCTTGAACTCCAATGTGTTTCTTATCGTTAGTCCTCGCACACTATTTGACTGATTTGGGTTAGTCCTGCACACATTCAAGATATTTAGCTTATTGCTGTTACCCATTTTTCCACCGAGAAGTGTTAGTCTTACACTTATATTAAAAAGATTATGGTTAGTCTTTGCATTTAATATTCATTTGTATTCATTTTAAACAATCGGTCCTTGGAATGGTGCGGCATCTCATTTTTGCGCAGTAGTACTATGACGTCATAAACGTTTTTTTTTTCAGCACCATCGGACTTTGGCGTGTAAAACCATCGGGGTTTGGCGCAAACCATCGGACTTTGGCGTGACTATCGGACTTTGGAGTCCCATCGCACTTTGGAGTCCTACATATTCATCATACATAAAAAACTATTAACAATCATCGAATATCAACAAATATGAAAAATGACCTGATCTTTAATCTGAAAACAAGTAAATCAAATTTACAATTTGATTGTTAATTTTGAATTATTTATCTAGATGTTGACCCCGTTGCATATTTCATAATCATTACTTAGTCGTTACACTATATTGAGTTTTGAAAGAAAAGTTTTATTATTACAAAATCAAGGAGAGAGAAAAAAAAACAAATATTGTATTATGGGTATGCGGGATAATTATTTTGTAAATCTGTATTAGATCGTTTTCGAGGAAAAAGTGCCAAAAAGGAATTCTTCAGACTTTTGTAAATTATGCATTTAAGTACAATTGTGTATAAGTATATTGTTACCCTGGCCTGGCAGAATCTATAAAGAACAGGAGAGGTGAAACACGTTATGTTTATTTGGCGGGTTTCAGTAGTTATAAAGTCGAACAAACAACATATGCATTATTACAGATACATACACTCATTTAGTCTAGGGGATTTACAATTACTAATTTACTATGACATCAAAATATCACTGACTAGAATAAAACATGTGACAAGCAACTTTCGTTTGATAATTAATCAATAGTATATTCAATAATACCATATCTTTATGTCCGAAACAGCCAAAACACATTCACAACAGTATTTGTTTACGTTTTGCCTCAAACCGGAAACAGATTACAAACTCTAAAACATGACTCTAAACCGAGCAACACAACTAATTCCGGAAACAAATGAAATTTTATACATTCGTTAGAAAATCAAATCTACATGTTTAGCAAATACTTTCTGTGATTATAAACATGACAATTTAGTACATATAATCTATTTACTATTGTTTAAACTCAAAATAAAGACTTTACACTGAACTCGAACCACGTGACTAGACCATGCTGCTGCATCAAAATATTCACAAATACATTGAAATTCACCTAATTGCAATATTTCGAGAAACAAATGTTTTATATCAAACATATTATTTATCAAGAAAACGGTTACAAACATGTTAACATGTATAAATTTGAGTTCTTACCTATAAAGAACAGGAGAGGTGAAACACGTTATGTTTATTTGGCGGGTTTCAGTAGTTATAAAGTCTAACCCAAAATATACCCCACATTCCGGATTTACACAAATCCAAGAGTTATCTCTCTTTGAGTATAAATTCTATAACAATATGATATATAAGCTATATAAACTGATAGATTATACAAAAAAAATGGGGGTGGCTGAAACCCAATATAAACTACGTCACACACTCCCCTCCAAAATTGAATGTCGTCCCGACATTAACAATTACAATGAAACACTCTTTGTAATTAACATAAAGAAACATTATCAGACTTCTGCTTTCCACAGATCAGTTCATTATCATTACATAGACCCTTTAACAATTTAACATACAATGCAACTTGCTCTATTATACTCAAATGTCTACAACTGGCCAAACTGCAGACAGACACTCTAAAATGTCCTAAGTATACATAAAGCTAGACACTAAGGTTACAAATACTCTGTCGCATACATGTACATGGCCCATATAACAACCATTCACTAATAAAATTTTATAAAACTTTGATCAGTATGTGATTCATATCACTCATGACATTATACCTATACACTAGCACAAGGCATATATATTTCACAAGAGTAATTACTCTTAGAGCTGTAAAACATGACAGTCTACTAATATGTGAAAAATCTACACAAAAATTTCAAAATCTGGTGTAATGGTCTGTACATATGATGGTTTCCCTAACTGATCATATGTAAACTTCCTGGGAGGTTTGGTTGTTCTCTTAGGTCTTTCTGAATGATCGTCTTCAGTCTGACTGGTTTCATCAACACCTGGCTCCTCATGTCTTTCATCAGAGTTTGGGTCTTCCTGATCATTCTGAGTATCAGATTGTCTATCTGAACTATGGGCTGACTTGAAACTGTCACCAGAACTGTCAGAAATCACAACAGGTTCCTCCGAATGAGAGTCACTAGGATTCTCTACTTCAACCACCGAGTCTGAGCTACCGTATTCTGTAATATGCTGTTGAGGCACAAATGGTTCCGCATGTGGATTTAAGGAGATCCCTCCAAAATCAATAGATCCATCCGAATCCGAGGAGCTACCATCAGCGTCATAGACTGGGGCTGTCAGTTTGGGGGGTTGTTTTAACCGGTAGGGTTTTTTCTTCTCCTTATGTCCGGACTCTACAGGTAGGGAATTGCACTGCCTTAACAGGTTCCTGTGAAGTCTCCTGATACCACCCTGTCCTGACTTCTTCCTCACCTCGTACACTGGTGTATCCTCATTTACTTGCTTAAGTACCACATACACATCCCGCTCCCAGTATGACCTTAATTTCCCTGGCCCTCCCTGTTCCAAAAGGTTCTTCACCAGTACATGGTCTCCAGGATACAATCGTGCACTCAATAGTGCCTTGTCATACTGACGCTTTCCCTTATCAGACATCTTCGCTGCTTGCTGTGATGCTACTTTGTAAACCTCCTCCATGCGAGCCTTCCACTGAGTGACATATTGTGAGTAAGTCCGCTTCGATTCTGAATGCTGTAGCTCTGGGAAAACGAGGTCAATTGGCAGTGTTGGATGACGTCCGAATAGCAAGAAGAATGGTGCATATCCAGTTGATTCATTCTTCGTACAATTGTATGCATGAACGACTTTGTTTAAATGAGATTTCCAGTCAGATTTGAAAGATGGTTCTAGAGTTCTTAACATTTGTAACAAAGTTCTATTGAAACGCTCCACTTGGCCATTTCCTTGGGGGTGGTAGGGTGTTGTACGAGAGTGATGAATTCCACACAACTTCTGTAACTCAAAGAAAAATCTGTTCTCGAATTCACGTCCCTGGTCATGGTGAAGTCTGCTAGGCATTCCAAACCTTAGCACAAAATCATTGAACACTTTTTCTGCTGCGGTTTTGGCCGATTTGTTCCTGGTGGCATACACCTGGGCAAAGCGGGTATAGTGGTCCATCACCACAAGAATATATTCATATCCCCCTTTGCAGCGCTCCAGATGGAGGAAATCAATTGAGACCAGTTCCAATGGACAAGTCGTAGTTATGGGTTGTAGTGCTGCTTTCCGCGGAAGATGTGGTCTTTTGTCCTTGATACAACAACACTCCTGAGTAACATATCGCTCAATCTCTGAACCCATGTGCGGCCAGTAGAATCGATCTCTTGCACTACTCAATACTCTCTCTGCTCCTAAGTGTCCTAGATCATCATGTAAATGTTTAAGGGCTAATTTCCTATAACATTTTGGAAGTACAAGTTGTTGTATTTGTCCTTCTCGAGGTAGTGAAATCTCCCTCCTAAGTAGTCCATTGACCATCTTCAACTTTGGCCATTCTCTTAGTAAACACTTGGAAGCAGGGCTCCAACCTTTGGTTACTTCCTTTGACGGTCTTGTCCCCTTTTGTACAAAAGGAATTATAAGCCCAATGTCTGGGTCCTTACTCTGTTCCTGTGTTAAGGTAGCACTGCTTATAGAAGAAAAGGTTCCACCCTGAAGTTTCTCTTCCTCCGCTTCAGCCTCTTTCACTGGTGCAAAAATACTGCTACAAACAGTCTCGTCTAACCTTACTGCTGTCACTATGGCATCAATGGTGTCAGGGGAACAACTTTCTGTAAACTTGGATACGTCAAGCGGCATGCGACTGAGTCCATCTGCATCACTGTTTTTCACACCGGGCTTGTAGTGGATATGGAATCGGAAATCCGCCAACATGGAAACCCACCTTAATCTCGTAGCATCTAGCTTTGGGGCGGTGAATATGTATCGCAATGGGTTATAGTCACTGTACACTTCAAAATGAGTGGCATAGTAAAGGTAGTCTCTAAATCGCTCTGTCACTGCCCATTTGAGTGCTAGGAATTCTAATTTTCCCGAGTGAAGGTGGTAGTTTTGCTCAGCTGGTGTCAGTGTCCTCGATGCTTAAGCAACTACAGCCAGCTTGTCATTATCCTGTTTCTGATAAAGGATAGCTCCCAAGCCCATTTGTGATGCATCAATGTGGAGAGTATATGGTTTGTTGAAATCAGGGTAAGCCATCACTGGTGGGTGAAGTAGGACATCAATGAGATCCTCCAAGATACCTTGGTGTTCAGCCGTCCATGTAATCCGCACTGATGAACTCTTCTGTCCTAATTTCTGGGACTTGGTTTTCTTCTGCTTCTTCCCCGATAAGGGTGCGTCTTTGTCATCTTTCAGTAAATCGTAGATGGGTTTTGCTCTACGGGAGAAATTTGGGATATAACTCCGGTAATATCCGATAAACCCCATCACTTTCCGTACATCTCCAACTGTTTGAAACTTCTGATCCTTTAATTTCACCACTGCTTCCTGGTCATTTGGGTCTACGGTATGACCCTGTGTAGTGACTAAGTGACCTAGGTAACGGATCTGTTTCTGAAAGATGTGGCATTTACTAGGCTTCAATTTCAGTCCTTTCTCCTTCATACGACGCAACACACACTGAAGGTCATTCAAATGAGCCTCAAAAGAGTTACTGTACACCAAAATGTCATCTAAGTATGGGAGACAACACTTATCTCTGAGTCCTTCTAGAGCTTCATTCATGTATGCTTGAAATATTCCAGGAGCACCTGTGAGTCCAAATGGAATACGATTCCACTCGTACTGTCCCCATGGTGTCACAAATGAAGTGTACTTTCTGCATTCCCCTTTCACAAAACCCTGATGGTATGCTTTGCTTTGATCCAGGAGTGAGAACCAGTGACTTCCTCCTAAGGAATCAAGTGCATCTTGTACTCGTGGAATTGGATGTTGGTTGTGGACAGTTTTCGCATTTAGCTTCCGATAGTCGACGCATAAACGGAGTGATCCGTCCTTCTTCCTTACACACACAATTGGACTAGAGTAGGGAGAAGTTGATCGTCGAATCCAGCGTTTCTGTAACAAGTTGGCAATGTAATCCTTTACTTCTTGGTACAGAGGCCTCGGTACAGCCATGTAAGAACTATGTACAGGTTCTTTGTCCATCAGTTCCAACTCCAACTGCAGGTCCAGGGCACAACCGATATCATCATCATCACATGTAAACGCCTCACATTCCTCCCTCAAAAGTTCCTGAACTTTCACCTTCTGGTCTGGGGTAAGGGAACAGTTTGAGAGGTCAACAGGTGGATCCCACTTATCACTGTTTTTAGTACTCACTTTATTCACTACTGTCTGAACACTGTTAGATCCTGTAGTCTCAAAGTGAATTGAAGAACAAATCCTTTCTGCGTGTCCTAAGGGGGTACCTTTTGGGATGACCACGTCCGTTTTGGATGGATTAGTCAACAACAACTTGATGTGTCTAGTACGTTTTGGATTCACGTTGATAAACATTTCCTGTGATGTAATTCCATATGCATCCAATTCTTGAGACGGAATGAAGACAGCCTTAGTGCCATGCTGAAGTTGTCTGGCCTTAAATGGTACTTTGATGAAGACCAAAGACTGTCTTGGTACAGTTATATTCCTGCGTCCTACCTTGACCATTCCCAGTGCTCCGTCTCCCGTGTCTTTCAACTCTCGGTAGAGGGCATTGACCTGAGCCTCATCAGCTGCTGGAAGAGTACACTTTAACAAGTCAACAGCATCACTTCTAGGTAAAGATTGTAACAGGTATTGTATAACATTATACCCCAGAATGGGTTCATTCATGCCAGACACATTGGTGATAAGAAAAGGTACATGAATTGGGCTTCCTTGTTCTACAAGTTTTAAACTGACAGTGAGTACACCTTCAAAAGGTATATCTGAGCCCGAGGCAGACACCAATGAAAATTTCTCTGCATGTAAAAACTCTTCAACACTCTTTACACTTTCAACTAAATCTGGACAATAATTCATAACCCATGACTTACTTAACAATGAAACTTGGGCCCCTGTGTCCCACAATGCTTTAACAGGTTTCTCATTCAATAAAACAGATACATGACATGGCTTACTGACAAGTTTCACAATGTTTGGCCCGATATCATACACATCACCCTTGATTTCATTAACAGACATTGTAGGAAAATTGTTAGGTTGACATTCAGCAAAAAATTTTGAGTTCATATAATTGACAGCATTACAAATTTTACAATGTTCAACCCAATGTGCCTTTTGACAATTGACACTACAATAGGTGGCTAAATGACAATTTGCACAAACTTTGATAGTTTCACTTGACAGTCGACAATGACAAGATAAGCAACTCGCGGGACATTTCTGTTGCTGGGCCGCCAACTGTCCCTCTAAGACGACCCGCTGCGGTTTCCCGAAGGCTGTGGTTTTCTGTTAGGGCACTGCTGACGACGATGACCGGATCCACCACAGGTCCAGCAGTGGTCACAACGCCTGCCGGTGGTTTGGCAGTCCGCACAACTTGGTCTGCTTGTATTTACTTTTTGTGTCCTCACGTCACCTTGGGAATGTCCGACCAGTTCCTTCAGTTTATTCATCTCAAGCCGTAAGGATTTGATTTCACTGGCGAGGTCATTTTTCACGGCCTCCTTCACAGAGTTGATCTCACAGGTAGACACTGAGTGTTTAGTCTGGAGCTTGTTAAGTCTCTCACTCTCTTGTATAAGAATCTGATTCAGCTCATGCATGAGCTCCGCATCAGATATAGTCACTTTGTCCAAATGTTTCCTCATCTCATGTCGTAATGTTGTGTCCCGTAACCCTGTGTAAACTGTTCTTCTGAATAGACCAGCAACCAGTTCTGGACTGTATTTGAGTTCACTGTTATCTTCCTGCGAAGCAAACAGAATCCGGTTCCTGAGGTCCATCACGCGCAAAAGGAAATCATTAGGGTTCTCCTTCGGATTTTGGGTCGCACTGGCGAGTTCACTATACAACTCAGTAGCATTTTTTTCTGCGTAGTGTCCTCTTAGAATACTTCTCAGGGTAGCCAGATTTATGTCAGGTCGTCCATCAAGGTAACTACGAAGACTCGAGGATGGTACAACTGCCTTGATCACACCATCAATGATGTCAACCTCCGAATATCCCTTCTGTTTACCAGTTTCGATTTGTCGAATTAAGCTTGTGTAAGAAATCCCTGCCTTACAATCAACCTGGCCGCTGATTTTAAAGTCCTTGTGTAGCTTTACAGCTGTGGGATTTTCTTTCTTGACTTCCGGTTTCTTTTCTTTTTCTTCCTCTGAAATCCCTGGAGACTTAGTGTCCTTCGCACTTTCAGGTTCCGATTTCATACCCACAGTTTTTTCGAGTTCTTTCTTAGCTGCCTCTGCTAAAGTGAATTTTACTGAAAGCAATGTAGTTCCAGACTGTGTGCCTTCCATCTCCTTCATGAAGAATTGATCTGCTTGCATAGCCACCACTAGTCGACCCTTGGAAGTATCAACAGTCTCCCCGAATTCCTCCAGAATTCCCTTCAGTACGTCCAGTGGCGCCATCATCAGCTTTGATCTCACCTCCAGCATCTCCTCTGTCAATTCTGCCATGATAGGATCCCGGACGAGCCCCCAAAATGTTACCCTGGCCTGGCAGAATCTATAAAGAACAGGAGAGGTGAAACACGTTATGTTTATTTGGCGGGTTTCAGTAGTTATCTAAAAGTCTACATACAACATGTGAATTATTACATATACATACACTCATTTAGTCTAGGGGATTTACAATTACTAATTTACTATGACTTCAAAATCTGACTGACTAGAATAAAACATGTGACAAGCAACTTCCGATTGATAATTTATCAATGAAATATTCAATAATACCATATCTTTATGTCCGAAACAGCCAAAACACATTCACAACAGTATTTGTTTACGTTTTGCCTCAAACCGGAAACAGATTACAAACTCTAAAACATGACTCTAAACCGAGCAAAACAACTAATTCCGGAAACAAATGAAATTTTATACATTCGTTAGAAAATCAAATCTATTCGTTTAGGAAATACTTTCTGTGATTATAAACATGACAATTTAGTACATATAATCTATTTACTATTGTTTAAACTCAAAATAAAGACTTTACACTGAACTCGAACCACGTGACTAGACCATGCTGCTGCATCAAAATATTCACAAATACATTGAAATTCACCTAATTGCAATATTTCGAGAAACAAATGTTTTATATCAAACATATTATTTATCAAGAAAACGGTTACAAACATGTTAACATGTATAAATTTGAGTTCTTACCTATAAAGAACAGGAGAGGTGAAACACGTTATGTTTATTTGGCGGGTTTCAGTAGTTATAAAGTCTAACCCAAAATATACCCCACATTCCGGATTTACACAAATCCAAGAGTTATCTCTCTTTGAGTATAAATTCTATAACAATATGATATATAAGCTATATAAACTGATAGATTATACAAAAAAAATGGGGGTGGCTGAAACCCAATATAAACTACGTCACAATATACATATTAAAAAAACTAGAAAAGTATACTTAATATGAAATTAAACTTAATTTCGTCGCCCCCACAATCTTTTATTCTAGTCCCTGTTACTGTAGTGCATCGTAATGAGAGGACTTTTCCATCTCTCCTAGTTCCTGGTAATCTCCAGTGACGTTTCTGTCCGAATTCTCATAAATGTCATTTGGTTTTCTTTCCTCATCATTTAACATATCTTTCGTTGTTGGTTCAGCCATTCTTCTCTCCCCTTGCCTTTAAAATAATAACAATTATCACATATCATTTAATTTAGCAAAGAGTTACAGTAGTTGGTCATCATTTTTTTAGTTCCCAAAATGGCCACCGTAGTTTCCGGAACCCGGTTTGGCGACGATATTTCGTCTCTTACTTTCTTAATATGTTTGAAAAATCAAACATTTTTGCATTCGGAAAAAAAAAACAAATATCGATTTTTGATTTTCAATTTATCTTCCTAATTCTATTTCCGTTTTGTTTGTTGATAATCATCTTCTTACAAAATGGGTCACCGTGGAAAAGATTTAACACCAAAAGTTAATATGAGAAAGGTTATTCTGGCCATTAAATCTAAAAATATCCCTTGAGTTTATCGAAGAACTATAAAAAAAAATTATAAAACTAGTAAAAGAAATGGGAAAAAAAGGGCTAGCGAAAAAAAAAACTGACAATAGAGCCGATCGTCGTCCTTTTTGGTTGGTACGGGGCAACCAAAGACATACCTTGGAAGACCTCACAAATAAACTCAACAACAATTCTGTTGAAAATATTTCTTCTAGGACTGTTAGAAGAAATTTGTTTGGAAATAATTATAAAAGACATGTTGTTTGCAAAACAATCAAGATGAGAAAAAAAAAACGATCTAGGCGAATCCGTTTTTTAGACAGAAATTGTGCTGGAAGGTTACTAGTCTAAAGTAATTTTTAACAATGAAACAAAAGTTTTTATTGGAGAGGAGAAAAAAATATGCGTTGATAAAGAATAACATACGTTTAATAGGAGAATCATTATGACAGAGAAGCAAGTTTGTTCTAGGATCTGTATCTGTATCACGTATACATAGTTTCGATGGACATAAATTTAGCAAAAGTTACCTCCCGTTTGTCGCCATATTGGAGGTCGACCCTTCTCTCTTTGGCTCACCAAGTTTAAGAAAATATACACATGTAGCAGAAATATTTGGTGAAAAATCTTTATTAGGCTTATTTTTTTTAAATAAAGGGGGCTTCCAAAAATTTATATACTTCAAAATATAATCATTCCTAATTCAAAATCGCAAATATAAAAATTTAAAATTGGTTGAACAATGAAGTAGAATATATATTTGGACCTCCAGTATGGCGGCCAACGGGGGGTAACTTTTGCTAAATATATATCCATCGAAAACTATCTAAAATGGCGTCGGAACAATTACACTTATAATTGGAAACATGGATTCCGATATTTATAATGAAACTTGATATTGAATTTATTGCCAGTTGTAGCAAGGATATCTACCTTGGATATGTCAAGAAATAAATGCCCTTTGCCACGTATCAAGACAATATTATGACTGGAAAGAAGACGATAACATTCTCATTTGACCCTGGCCTGCAAAAGCCCAGATATGATCATAATTGAAAATATATGGAGAGAATTGAAAATCCGTATCAAACGCCGCATAAATGAAATTAACAACAAGTTGGATCTTGAGAGAGTAGTGACTGATTTTGAGCTTCACCTACTTTACTTTATATAAAAAGCCTATTTCAAAGTATTTCACGGAAAATCAGAGCCGTAATTAAAGCAAAAGGATACATAACGAAACACTAGTACTTTAAGGTAAGTGTGTTTTATTGTTTCCAAGCCGTTCAAGTTTTCCATTGCAACAGGCTTGCTCCAGCATTTTACTACAGCGGCCATTTTGGGAACTATATTTTGACCAAGTACTGTATATTCCTTACAAAGAAAAACAGCCATCATAATTGATATGTGCACCCTCTAAAACTATACGTTCATTTAATGTTCATCATTGACCGACAAAGAAAATTTTCTCCAAATTTTTATTGAATTGGATTCTGAATAATTTTGCTGAATATAATGGAACTACTTAAACATAACTTATCAATATTTTCTTCATCTATAAATTTGTTGAATTGCACAAATGAAACGAAAAAAGAAAAACACATTTAATAAATGCAATATTAATAATTTTAAATACCTCTTTAGCAGGATATAAGAAATCAGGACAACATTAGCTAAAGCAGATACCAAAAATGCACAAAGGATGACGTAAAAGCCTCGTTGCCAGTCTTGTTTATCCTCAATTTGAACTACAATTTATAATTTAAATTAAAAAATTTATAGAGTTTTATTAAATAGATGCTGATTCAAGCAATTTTTGATTGTTTTTTGTCTTTCAAAATTAAAAAAAATATCTTTTAAAGTTTATTCATGCTTTACAACAGGGATAGCGTCAACCAATTAGTCGCGCTTAACTGACCGCACGCACCTGTGGCGGTATATCGAGATAATTGGCACTTAAAAATGGACGTTTGTTTTGAAAACAGGGTGGCGGATGGCGGTATGCGAATTTGGCGTTATAAAGGGAATTTTATATAGCAGGAAAAACGTTCTTGGGAAATCATGGCGGTATTGCGAAAATGGCGATGAAACGAATGGCGATAATTCGAGAATTGACTGTATATATATATATATATATATATATATATATTAAATGTATTCGTAAGTGCCCATTAGTCCATCTGTTGTCTCTGTAAAGCTCGGAAAAAAACCCCACCTCAAATGTATTAAAAGCAGCAGATGTTAAAATTTTATGCAAAATGGAGTCGCTTCGTATTCAGTTGATTATCCCCTCCTTTGCAAATTTTGCGTAATATTAAATTAACATTCTTTAAGGTATGGACAAGAATCTACAAATTAAAAGCCACCCAATATTCATTTGAATGTTGTTGAAAAGAAGTGAACGATTTTGTAACACATTCGAGGTAGTCTCTCAGCTGATCGGAAAGCATTCGCACCATCTCGGTTCTTTCCGTCGAAGGTCGGAAAAACTACCTCGGATGCTATCGACAATTCTCGGCTGACTCCGCTTCGTCCACTCAAACCTCGGGTGTGATGGATGGAGGAATATGGATCAGATTGATACATTTTTCTCCGCCGAAAACTGCCTGCATGTAGTTACTCATTTTATATTTCGCTTCGATAAGCATTCATTCATACTATGGGGAAAATCCTTCTTTCTTTACCGAATATGATGCCTATATTTCCTCAAAATGATTGATTTTTATTGCTAATGCTGGAGATTCTCAAAATAAAGAAAAAAAAGAGTTGCAGATGCAAATGTACACTATTTTATAAAACGACTCATCAGGCTCATGTGTTTCAATAGCATAAATAACAGTTTCTTGACCGGAAGTCCAAGAGTTACTACACTACGCCAAGTTAGAGAAAATTCGACCGCATTATCTGAAGAACAGGCAATTAAAAATGCCCAAGAATATTTATTTCGCTCAGATAAAGACATTGATAACCTAATGCATGGTAGAAATCGGACTGCGTACATATATGTTGTACATGGCGGACTAGCATGTTTTGATTAAATGGCCGGAAAAAGGGGGGGGGGGTTTATTTAAATGAAATCAGTTAAGAGAGCTAAAAACTCAACTTTCGGTAATCGAATGAAAACAATTCAACCATTAAATAACTGATTTCACACAGTAAAAGATGTCATAACTTGTTTGGTACATAGTTATATCCCGTATATAATTTTTCACCCTAAATGTAGAGTGTTGCGTTTTTATTGACGGTGAGTATATATATGATTGTACTAATGAAACTCGAGGGTTCCTATCAAAGAATAGTTTTTGGAAAAAAGAACAATCTATTGAAAAGTTCAGTTTGATATAGTTTGAATTTGAAAGTCCAGGTACATATACATGTAAAATGGATTTTGATATGTAAAAGTAATTGTCAAGTTGGTACGGTTGGACAGACTATATATTATCATGGTCCACAGGTATACCTGAGGAATGGTTGGCGTTTATTTACATTTTTTTCCTTTCACTGTCAGGAAGTCATTACGTATACCACTTTGTTTAAATCCAGAGATAGCTAGTACTGTATGAACTCCTTGGATGTGTAGCACAACGTACAATCTCAATCTCATGATTGGGTCCCGGTGCCAGTAAAAGGAAAAAGTTAGAAAAAAACCCTTTAAATTAGGACAGAAAAATCATTTTGACCAGTGTTAATGTACATGTAATACGTTAGCTTGTAAAACAACAATTCCCTGATCTGCGTCTTGCATTAATTTTATTACTTATATTGTATTCACGTTGAAATCCTACTTAGAAGCGGGACACCCTGTTTAAAAGATTGTGTTCCTTTCCTTTAAGTATTTTGATAATTATATTGTTTAGGAACAATCTTAAATCTAACAAAAACCGGAATATACTAATTGTCGAAATATAGGTAAGATAGGCTAGGATTACATGTACTTTTGATAAAGCCATACATGACATATCTGAGCTTAAAAAATGAAAATTAAAGAGATTCGGTGTAGAATTACTTGATATATGTTATTTACGTTAAAATTAAAATTTTCATCGATTTGAACCTCAATATACCCACGTTTCTATGGTTAAATTGACTTTAAAGCTTGTGTGATATTTAATTCCGAGTCGGAAATAAATTGGTTATTGTTTTAAAAATATCTGATGTCTATGAAACGAGATGGATTTAAACTGTGTAATTTACAAGAAAGTCCTATCTTAAAAGTATTTTGCACTGGTGTAGAGAGGGCCCTAAATAATATATAAACTTAAAATATAGAGTTTTTAGGTCACCTGAGTCACTCAGGTGACCTATTGCTATCTGTTTTCGTCCGTCGTCGTCCGTCGTACGTCGTTCGTCGTACGTCGTTCGTCGTCAATCGGTCGTAAACTTTTGACCATTTTTCAGCTTCTTCTCTGCAACCACTGCACCAATTTCAACCAAATTTGGCACAAAGTATCTATGGGTGAAGGGGAACAAAAATTGTGAATATCATGATCCCTGCCCCCCTGGGGCCTGGGGGGTGGGGCCAAAACCACTAAAATTAATGCAATCTTTAAAAATCTTCTTCTCTACACCTGTACATCAAGCAGTCAAACTGTTTGCATGATTGTAATCAGCAATGAGTCTTCTACCAAAATTGTGAAATTCATGGCCCTGGGGTGAGGAGTACTTGTGCTAGGGCGGGGCTAAATAAGTATATAGTGAAAATGTATTATTTCTTTAAAAATCTTCTTCTTTGCTCCTGGGTATTAAATAAAGTAACTAAGTACATAGTTATGATGAGCAGGAAAGCCTCTACCAAAATTGTGAATTTTATGGCCCCAAGGTCAGGGGTTGTGGTGTTAGGGCGGGCCTCTATTGATTATATAGAGAAAATACACGAATTCTTTGAAAATCTTCTTCTCTGCTCCTAGGTATTAAATAAACTAACTAAGTGCATAAATATGATAAGAAAGAGTGCCTTTACCAAAATTGTGAATTTTATGGCTCCAGGGTCAAGGGTTCTGGTGTTGGGTGGGGGGCTCTATTGATTATATAGTGAAAATACATGAATTCTTTGAAAATCTTCTTCTCTGCTCCTAGGTATTAAATAAACTAACTAAGTGCATAGTTATGATAAGCAAGAGTGCTCCTACCAAAATTGTGAATTTTATGGCCCCAGGGTCAAGGGTTCTGGTGTTGGGGAGGGGGGGGGGCTCTATTGATTATATAGTGAAAATACATGAATTCTTTGAAAATCTTTTTCTCTGCTCCTTGGTATCAAATAAACTAACTAAGTGCATAGTTGTGATAAGCAAGAGTGCCTCTACCAAAATTGTGAATTTTATGACCCCAGGGTCAAGGGTTCTGGTGTTGGGGGGGGGGGGGCTCTATTGATTATATAGTGAAAATACATGAATTCTTTGAAAATCTTCTTCTCTGCTCCTAGGTATTAAATAAACTTACTAAGTGCATAGTAATGATGAGCAAGAGTGCCTCAACAAAAATTTTGAATTTTATGGTCCCAGGGTCAAGGGTTCTGGTGTTAGGCCGGGGGTCTATTGATTTTATAGTGAAAATTCATTAAATTTTCTTCTCTGTCTAAGGGCATGAAGTAGATGAACTACCTATATAGTTATGATGAGCAAGGGCCCTTGCAGAATTGTGTGTTTTAAGGCCCCAGGGTCAGGGGTTGGGTGGGGGAGGGGCTCTGCTTATATACTGAAAATTAATTTATTGTTTGAAATCTGCTCCTTTGTATTTATAAAACATTCATTTATTTTCTTTGATAGGCAATTTTAAGGGTGCATTTTAATAATTTGTGCAATGTTTGGACCTAGGGTCAGGGGTTTATGTCACCATGTAAGGGGCACTACTGATTATTGCTGAATATTACTGATTACTTGGAGTGCCTTTTTGTTCCCCTACCCTGTGTATGGGTATTCAGTTACCAAGCTAAGCAACTGTTAAGTGTATTGTTATGATGATCAATGGTGCCTCTTTCAAAATTGTGAATGCCATATAGCATCTGGCTTAAAACATGAATCAAATTCAATACACTGTAACTGGAAAGTTGTAGCATAATGCTCAGGTGACCTATAAGGCCCGTGGGCCTCTTGTTTTTTTCTACATCCGATGCATTATTTAATTTCATATTATACTAGGATGATTTGGAGAAGGGGAAAGGGGGGTATTTCCACTCAAGGACGTTGTGACAGGCAGTATTTACATAACATCTGATTAATTTAACATTTCTCTTTCAAGATTGTCGTATATTTAATTGAATTTAATCGATCACATCTCTGAAATTCTGACTATGCTGCATATACACTTAACAAAACTTCGAAGTGTTCACTTTAATAAATGTCTTTATTTAAGAACTACTTTAATTTAAGTATGAATTATCCTTAAAGCAGCGCACTAAAGTGCTAAACACCCAAGGATATTGACCAAAAAGCATTTGTATGACGATATACTGTCAAATTCCCGGATCTGAATCCGAAAGAATACATTTGGGATTATAAAAGAAATGTCACCCCCCCTTTTTTTCCTCACAATTTCAATGGTTTGGAAAGATCTATGCAGTACATGTAAGTGTGGAAGCAGAATCTCCTATTCAGGGGTACATAGTGTCCAACAATAAAGATTGTCTTGTAGTAATTATAGCGAGTATTGGGTCCTACTCAATCGAGATTTTTTTGTGTGAATTTTCATTTTGAGGGTACATCATTTCCTTGACACTTTGCTTAAAATTCTGACGAGATACTTACATGAAATTTACGCAACATCGAACCAAATTAAAATGGGAAGGGGGGGGGGTAAACAAAAAAAGGTAAGCCACAATTTGCAATCCTTATATTTTATATTTATCTTATCAGAAGTGGGCTCTGGTTGAGGGAGGGGTAAGCCCTCTCTAGCACCCACGACTGCAACGCCTATGAATAGTGTGGACCAAGACTCTCTCTGGTATTCAAGAGGTCGACTGTCACCCTTTCTCTGAAATATGATTTTTTTTTTTAAAAACTATGGATTTCATTGATTTCATGTTTTCAATATAATTAGTTAATTTAATCACACAATACAAAAAAATACACAATCCCGGAACCAAGCCCCATTGATAAAATTTGAGCAATGTATCTTACTAAGCATAAACCAAAGAAGACCGAGTGCGACAATATTTTTTTATTTGTGCATGATCAAGAACCGCTGTGTCTATGTCTTATAAAACAAATATTTCGTCAGATGCAGCAGAATGTGTATTTACTCTTTATACATAAAAGCAAGCATCTATTACTTAATCCAAGTTCAACTTTTATTTTAAGAGACATTTTCTGTCATAAATGTTCTATTTTTTAAATTAACTTATATTTTTAAAGATTTATATAGGCATGTATGATAGAATTGTAGGTCATTAACTATAAGTATATATATATAATGTTGCGGGATCAGTGTACAGAAGCGAGTTGTGGGTCAGTATACAAGAATAATTCTGTGGCATTCCTGGCTGATTCGATTTGTATCGGTAATGATTTTTATAGTCTTATTGATAAAATGTAGCGGTATTGATCACCCGAAATTTAATTTCAAAGAAATGTAGCGTAAATGAATTGAAAATTTTTGCAATGTAGCGGTAATGTTGACCTCCCCAAAAGATATAGAAATTGCGGGATCCAAATACCGGCAACTATACATTATTCTGGGTCAATACATTGGATATATAGAACACCGTCCCATACTGAGTATATACTTTTCCATCTATAAAATGTAAAATAATTGTTGATTTGATTACACTTACCTTAAATCTTAATGTGTGATATTTTTTTCTGAATAAACCTTAAGTTGTGAATGATTTTCTGAGACTTCAACCTAACGTATTTTTTTAATTATTGAAACATCGCAATTTACATCTCACGTGCGATCTTTAAAGTAACATTTTAGTCGCATTTAATTTTTCAAAAAATGTGTTATTGAAGCTTTCTTTAACATCTTTATAAGAATTTATATTTAGATATATAAACTTTAAGAAGAACACAACTATCGTACGATAAAAAGTTTTGAAATAAATTAGCCTTATTTTTTTTTTCATTTAGATTTATACAATGTATTACATTGAAAATAAAATCTCATGATACATATAAATAAAAAAAAAAATCGTTACAATTTAATAATGATTCACTGAAATCAGGCTATAAAATCTAGCCGTTTCTCCTTATCACTCCAATACTCATGGGGAAAGTTTATAAAATATTGTGGGACACGCGCAAAATCCTGCCGATGCACTCAGCGGTAAGAATCCATATATATAAAATTGCATTGTGGGTCATTTTTTGATTGTGTAATTATGGGTCAAAAAATTTTTTTTTGTAAAAAATGAATATAGTTACTATATTATTGTCATAAACAAAATTTTAGGCACATAGTTTGTGGGTCAATATATAATGACCCATAAACCATCCATGGTACCCACAACGTGAGTGGAAAAGACGCAAAATAACCCACAATCCGCATGGCACAAAACTATATATATATATATATATATATATATATATATATATATATATATATATATATATATATATATATATATATATATATATATATAGTTAATTTTCGATAAACCGCCACCTTTTGTGATTTAGAAATCATGGCGGTATAACGAATTTGGCGATGAATTGAATTTCCCACCTTTTAGGAAACAAGAAGTAGAGTTACCGTTCTTAGAAATACCGTAAAGCGTTTCTATTCTTATAATTATGTGTACATGTATATAAAACATATTTCTAAAATTGAAAATACTTCAAGTAATTTTTTATGTACAATTTCTTTTAAACAAAATGTGCAGTTATGAAATAAAGACAAGTACATGTGCATCTATGTACATGCAAATCGGCACGTCTGATATTGAAAAAAAAACATGCTGGGTCGATCGTCGTGATATATGTTGCTGACAGTACGTAAAACGGTTTCTTGAATAAATTTATTGTTTATGGCATCATTGTTAGTGAAACGTTCACAATTTATACCGTATAAATATTTTTAGGCAAATTTTGCATTGTTTAAAGCAGAGATCATCAAAATAATATTGTATTCGGCGTACTTTCACAACTACCCCTTTAGTGGCGAAGCCGAGACTAAATGATTTTTTTAACAAAACAACAGAACAACATCATTGTAACAGTTCATATTAAAATTATTTGTTCATTTAATTCTAATTTAATTATTTAATTGCGTATACCTTGTCTGGCTTTTCATGCTTTACAACAGGGATAGCGTCAACCAATTAGTCGCGCTTAACTGACCGCACGCACCTGTGGCGGTATATCGAGATAATTGGCACTTAAAAATGGACGTTTGTTTTGAAAACAGGGTGGCGGATGGCGGTATGCGAATTTGGCGTTATAAAGGGAATTTTATATAGCAGGAAAAACGTTCTTGGGAAATCATGGCGGTATTGCGAAAATGGCGATGAAACGAATGGCGATAATTCGAGAATTGACTGTATATATATATATATATATATATATATATATATATATATATATATATATATATATATATATATATATATATATATATATATATATATATATATATATATATTCCCTTATAAAGTTTCTTGGTTCATAACGCAATGTAACACAAATGTTTACACTTTTGAAATTAACTCTTCAAAAAACTTCATTTGCAAAATAATTATATTGCAACGCAATGCGCATTAGGAGGTATTTATGTCTAGAATTAAAACTTGTGTAAAAATACAAACTCTATATACCCCTTTCGCAATGAGTCCCTTCCCAACCAGGCTGACATCCACTCTGACATTCTCCTGTAACATTGTGACATACACTGGGTACCATACAATTGACACTGCAATTTTCACTACAGTTTTTTCCAAACTTTCCAGCGGAACAACCTTCGAAGCAATATGGAAATGTGTCACATCTATCTGTTATAGAACTCTGCATGAGACTGGTTTCATGCTGCAAAACTATAGCTCTTTGATTTTGAAAAATCGGTCATATGTACAAAAGAACTGCAGATCAATTGTTAAAAAAAAATAAACAGTTGATTCAATTCTATAATTTCGGGACATTATCTACAAAATACTTTATCAGCCTTTATATACAAAACCCTGGTATAAGCATTGGAGCTCTTGAAAAACATATATCTTACTCTTATATAATATTATGTTATTTATAAACCTTTCCACATTTCAAACCTATTTTTTTCCCAGTACGGTCTCTGGATGTCAGAAGCAATAGCTTTTTAACGTGAGTACCCCCCCCCCCCAACTTTTCCAAAAAATGTGAGTATGTCAAAGATCATACACATGCTGAAATAATGAAATTTACTATTACAGTGTATGAGGATATAGTGTAATAATCTGTTTATTTAAGTCATGCACAGGAGTGCTTGGATCTGTAACTCTCTTGTTTTTCTGTCCAAATTTTCTCAATCTGGGAGTTTCATTTCTGTAGCTAGCTGATTTTCTTAATGCAAAAATTCATAGAGTTACCCGTTGTACAATGATATCCTTCAAATCCAGAATCACATCCTTCAAGACAAGAACCATTGATGTGGTGACATTGTTTATATCCCAGACACGCTCCACATATCTGTCCACAATCCTTACCATATCGGTTACCATCACACTCTTTTAATTTAAAGAAAAGTCATCATATAAATATATCTCCTTTGAATGGTATTCTAAAGATTATACCTAATCAAACGAACCAAGTTTTATAAGGTACCAAAAAGATTAAAAGCAAACATTAAATGAAAAACAATATGTGATTATCAGTGAAAATATTTTGCATGTATATATAATAAGATGTATAACATCTTGTTTTAAAATGTAACAGGGTAAAGAAATGTACATGAATAAGATCCAGACTTTGAAATAACGTATTTGCAAGTTGAGTTTACATATAGAGATAAAAACGTTCGGCAAGGGATGATCAGTCACCATGGCATCTATTTCACTCTCTGATGATTTTATTGGTCTGTGTTTGCTCTACTCCTATATCTGTGGTGTTTTTGGACGTATAAAAATGGATATTTTTCGTTACCTTCATATATTGCTTTGCTAAAATAGCGTTATGGCAAGCTGTTTACCAATAACATTAAACATGGTTCAACATCTCATGAACTAACTAACGTAATGAAAAGTCTCAGTTCTTACGTTCACTACACTGAAGTCCCTTCCAACCTGCCTGGCATCCACCTTCACATTCACCTGTTGTCTTATTACATTTGTTTGGGTCTTCACATTTGTCATTACAATTATTTTCACAGTTATATCCAAAATATCCTTCAGAACACTCTAAATGACACAGAGAATGAAGTTATAATGTATTTCCTTGAAATTTGACGAAATACAATTGATTACTATTGATTTTTTTGCGCAAGCCTATAGTACTTAGATCATAGGCGTCAGAACTGGGGGATGGGGTGAAGGCTTAGCCCCCCCCCCCCCCCCCCCTCAGAAAAAATGAAAATATATACATTGAAAATTGGGGTTTACCTTTTTTGTTTGATTCAGCCCCCCTCCCCCCCTACTTTCAATTTGCCTCTTTTTTAGATACAGTTGATTGCAATACTTATTAATCTATTTACCAATATTACATAAAGTGTCTTTAAATCCTGCATCACATCCTTCAAGACACGAACCATTCATGTGATGACATTGTTTATATCCCAGACAGGCTCCACATCCCTGTCCACAATCCTGTCCATATTTGTTACCATTACACTCTATTGAATGCAAATTACATTTCAGGTAACAGCAAGTGTTGTTATTCATTAAAAATAACATTGTAAATATATAACTAGCGAAATGAGGTTGTTGCAAAACATTGGTGATCATCATTATTACCATTTTGACATTGATATCCCTGGTACCCAGGTTTACACCAGGAACACATTCCAGTCTCGATGTGACAATAACCGTCACCACAATTTTCAGGACAGGGGATAGAGCAGTTAGGTCCATAGTATCCAGTCATACAACCTTCAAATAGCAAATAAAATCACAAATTTGGCGATATAACACAGCTCATGTAGTCGCATAAAAAATGAGTTGATAACATGCGAAAGAAAAACAACAAGAATTTACAAAAAATAAAAGATTTCATACCAAAGACTTCTACTTCGCACAATTCATTATGAGCAAATTGTGAATATCCATCCGGGTACATAATATTGTATAATCTTTCATTAAAATAGATGACGTATTGTGCATGTAAGGGACAGGAGATATTGGCAATGGCTGGTATAGTTGATCTCGTATAGTTTATATCATGGAAGCATAAGTGGCCATCAAGTCGGTTCGTAGTGTTCGATAAATACACATAAAACCCAAGAAATCTTGCAGCAAAAGGGTTTCTTTCATCTGGAATTAGAAAAAAAAACCTAATCATGCAAGCCAAATATTTAAAAAAAAAAAAACAATCACGGATGTAGAAATTATGAAAAGTACTCAATCTTAAAGTCCATTAAACAATACATAATAGGATAATAATATTATATAATATATAAGAATATATGTTTCAAAAGCCTAATGATTAATTATAGAAATTTAGCTGTAAATAAATAGTTAAAGTGCTGAACATTTGCTTATTTTTACACGATTTTTGCTCAGTTTTCAAATAAAAAGAAAAAAATATATATTTACATAACATACGCATTTACAATATCAAGTATGTGGAAATCTACAACGAAATATGAAACATCAAAACGCGTACAGGAGTTCAAAGGTTAAAGAATGTGTGGCGCATATTTTCTGACTAATTCTGATCTATTTGTCTAAGTGGGTCCCCCAGAACACGTTTCCAACTTGATGTTTTGTTTAGTTGAGGATGAACATTTTTATTCCAGGATTTTTTTTTCACGACAAAAACTTTAGACTCCTGAGCATGAAGATGTAACTCTGACACATCATGAAACTTTGATTACATTTAGGTATTTTTTTTTAAAATCCGACCGAAAGAAGTTTGCATAGGTATTTGTATGACATAATTTTTTTCTAAAATCATAGCAATCGAAATTATCGTTGTTTGGGAAAAATCGATTGATTGATTGTATACTGTTTAACGTCCCTCTCCAGAATATTTCACTGATATGGAGACGTCACCATTTCCGGTGAAGGGCTGCAAATTTAGGCCTATGTTCGGCACTTCCGGCCTTTGAGCAGGCAGGGATCTTTATCGTGCCATACCTGCTGTGACACGGGGCCTCTGTTTATACGGTCTCATCCGAAGGACCGCCCCATTTAGTCACCTTGTACGACAAGCAAGGGGGTACTGAGGACCTATTCTTACCCGGATCCCCACGTATTAAAAATATAGTTTCTGTAGGTTAAAGTTCTGACTCGAGCTATTAAAATTTTTTCACTAGATCCGTAGAGGACAAACCATTTTTTTAAAATGTATTTTTTTTCTCAACACATGCACACTTTGATTCCTTTTTACTTTAAGGACAGATGATACAAACTTTTTCTTCTATGGAGCGAGGAGACTTATAAATCATGTCTCAAGTTTAGAAAGATGGATAAGTCCTCGATTTTTTTCTTAACAAAAACTTGAAAATGAAATAGACTTAGAAAAATTAGTAATATGTCAATTAAATTACAAATATGGATAAAAAACAGTAAAGGTTTAAGGATGACAATAAATTTTGAAATACGTTATATTGATGCTAAAAGAGTAATATAATCTTTAAGGAAGTGTACCAAGCCAGGTGAATTTTATCAGGAAAGGTAAAATGGTTAAAATGATATGGATGATTTTTTGTCTTTTTGTTTTTCTTCCTAAAACCATCTGGCTTGATATATGTTTCTATGGTTTCTATTGCATTTTTAGCACCAAGATAACATATTCTGAAATTTGTTTTCAGCTGTAAAGCTTAACTTAGTGTGATTTGTATATATATATATATATTTTTTTTTATTGAAATATTACTTATATTTTTCAAGTCTATTTCATTTTCCAGTTCTTAGAAAAAAAAGTATAAGAACTCTCCACTTTCTAAACTTGTGACATGTTATTAAGACTCTTCCAATGAAAAAAAAATGTTTGTATCATCTGTCTTTAAAGAAAATTCTCTCTTTTTATCTCTTCTCCACTGAAAATTTAGATAAAACTGCCTTATTTCTTTGTGTTTTTTAAAATAATGTACATGTATATATTGATTTCTATTTAATCAATCAATTGAATAGTTTATTTATTTATGTATTATATATTCATGTATTGGATAAATAATGTATCAAGAGATAAACAACAGGGTGTTTTTAACCTAGGTAGAGTCAGAATTTTTCAAATAGATTTTAATTCAAGCGTTTTCAATCGTAAATATCCTCTAATATTACATTTATACATGTACATACAAAGTCATGTAAATGTGCACTTGGCAGATCGAGTCTAACTGTTTAAAAAACAATAGTAGTTAGGATCCTTAGTATAAGTTTAATGCATACATATATAATTTTGATACATGTTTTTTTACATTTTCACAAATGAGCTGATGAAAGATTTTGGAGATTTAAATAATTTCATTATGATTTCATAGTAGTCAGTGTGTAATATTGAATGGAAATGAGAATTGACACTTGAAGGACAGAAATAAATTAGATCATAAAAATGCTTGATTTTTCTTATGAGGTGAAGGGTCTTAAAGAAATGCATGCTTAAAATGACTTCATTTTTGTATTGGAAATCGAAGATAGACCCGCGTAATTTGGCTTTATTTCATTCACGTCTTATGCACTGATGCAGAACGGGGGTGCAACCTGATTATTACTCATAAGTTGTAGTTGTTGTTACCACTGAATAGATAATACCAAGATTCCCTCAGATACTGCGAACAAAAGAAAACCATGAACATTTTTGAACCATATAAGAGATAAACTTTTTTATGATTTAAATTCAGCTTATCCCTTAGATCTAAAAAAAAATAATACAAATGAATAATTGTGTTATTTTTTAGCGACTTTCTATAAGAAAGCTATACAGTCCACAATTAAATGGTTTCGAATTTCATTACAATGTCGGAAAAAAACTTACTCCATGCATTATTTTCAGTTCGGTAATAAATCCGTATGTCATGAATGCTGTAGACTGACGTCAGGTTTACCCACCAGGTGGCATTTCTTTTATTGTCAGCTGAAATAACACACTGTCCCCCATCGAATCGGAGGTTTGATTTTAGTCCATCTACTGCATTACTTGAATCAAATCTGCTGTCCGATACAAGAAAAGGATTTGCCTGCCAAGTCTGTTTGTTCAAAGCCACATTCACTAAAGGAAGCACAAATATTCAGCTCAAAAGGTTTGTTTTTTAAACGAACGAGGGACATGAAAAACAAGTTCCAAACAATGATCATAAAGTTTTTCAGATTTTGACAAAAATGTTTTGAAAGAAATTGATACAACAGAAATACCAAATGCCAATTAACAGACACCAAATATAATATTACCAATATTTACTCGAAACATAAAAGTGCACATGCGCAAAAACATGGTAAAATTGAATATTTAAAGTAGATACTGTTTCATAGGTTTCTTTAAATGATAAGATCGTATTCGAACAAAGAGATTTTTCTTGAACACTTTTATTGGAAATCTTAGCCCGACGCCTAGGTTTGTAAGCAGGCGTACTTCTAACAGGATATAAAAATCTAGGCATGTTTATATGTATACTTTATTGAATGTTTTTCCTAAAATGTACCTATGCAGTAATATTCCTTTAAAAAATCATACACAAATTTGCTCCAAATATCCAGCAATTCTGCTAGCGTGCGCATATTTTTCCGCTCTTCTTCTGCGTTATGTCAATCCGTCAAATATCACACATTGATATGTGAAAGATGAAACTATGAAGGTGTGCATAAAAAAATATTACTTCCTTAACAGCACGTGTCTTATATCACCTATTAACTTGTTTGTTATAATCAGATATTGAAATGACGAACATATATTAAATTTATGGACGTTCGATCCTGAGTTTGTCCTTTATTTATAAAATTCTAATTGATTTTTTTGTTCTTACATTAAATCTGATTTCTATAATGCAAATTGAAGTTTTTTCAATGACAATAGTCACAATAGCGCAATTAATGTTTATTTAAGTAGACTTAAGCCATGAACTATATTTTGTGGCGGAAGTTTTTTTTTTTTTAGAAAAAAAAAAATGAACTGATTATTCCCTTTTCAACTATAACAGTACTATTAATTTGAGATTCATTCTTTTCATCCTGGTTGCACACAAAGCTGTTTTTTGCGATGAAATGTGTTATGCTGGCTTCAAAATATCTATTAAATTATTTCTTATATATTCTTTCAGCAAAGTGTGACAAATATAGTCAATGTATGCGAAAAAAAATGAGCCAATTAAACTGTAAATTAACAGCAGTTAAGTTATATCTGAAAAATTACATCATATTCCTCCGCTTTCGATGTTTTTCATAACATTTAAGATAACTTTGACTTTGATTTGCTTCAATTCAAAAAGAAAAGGCTAAATAAATTTTAAATGCCATAAAAATAGCATATTTTAATGCAGAAAGGTCAAATAATATACAGTTATTGACTGGGTATGAGGGCAACATATTATTTGTTGGACGTGAAGGTGGAAATGTTGCCCGAAGCCGCAAGCCAAGGGCAACATTTTCACCTGCAGGTCCAACAAATCATATGATGCCGGAATCCTAATCTATAACTGTTTTGTTATGCCCTTCAGTGCTCACTTAAGATTTAATCAATACACACTTTATTATCCATTATTTTATATGGAAAATTATGGCTTTATCAGTAAATTAAAAACAATGATGAGAGTAAACGAAGTTAATTATATTTTTATTATATCACAAGAATTATTTAACATAAAACATACTCTATCCTTCTTCCATGTCTTGCCAGAAGCAAAAACTCTTGCAGCTTTTAACCTCGGCTATTTCAATGTCGACGACATTTAACGATGATAAATAACTTGTGCCTTAGCAGTGACGTTGCGGTCTAACAATTCTTATGTCGACCGGCAAGCCGGTCGACAGTGAAATTGTTAGACTGATGTAATAAACATTTCTTTTGTTGGACTTCTTCTTGAAATAAAACATATAGAAAGCTATTTATAAGATTAGTACAATTAACTATGCGAAACAAGATAAAACTTTTTCTTAGTAATTTTAAAGTGTCAAAGATTTTAAATAGGATTTTTAAAATTTGATAAAAATATTGGAGGGAAAACGTCAAAAATATTATTTTCATTAAGACATGGATTTCAGTGCAAACGGTCAAATTAAATGTACTATAGAAGTATATTGACCCCATTTTTTATTTGATTAATTGTATATTGTTTAACGTCCCTCTTGAGAATTTTTCACTCATATGGAGACGT